GCTCTCAATCAGGCGAATATGTTGTTGATCCTAAATCACCAGCTATTAGTAGCCTTAGGATTTGAGTATAGAATCTGTATAGATGATCTTCAGGGTGGGCTAGTGTTAAGGAGTGTTGCTGTATGGCACAGATAGGGTACACAGTCGGTCTAGATTAAGATGGGGGACGTCAGGAGGTATACCCTCTTAGGACGTACCCCATCGGGACTTAGCTATCTGCGTGCCCCCAGGTTGAGGGCAATCCGCCTCACCTCAGACCTGTAGCAGACCCGCTTCTGCAATAACAAGCAACCTTCCCATCTCAACGTGCTCGTGGACAAGAGTGTCTACGGCAGAATCTACATCTACTACATCTAGGAGGCAAGCCACCGTCGGGCGGGCATTCCTTTAAAACCACCCAAAAGGCACTGCCCCCACTCGCGACCTTTCCTCCCCTGCACGAGGTCGAAGAGAGAGGTATTGCGCACGTGTATAAGCGAGAGCTACTGATGGCGCAGTAACGATAGAAAGAGCTGCAGTACCGCCGGCGGTACAGCCTTTGCGCCGTGACACAAATGTAGGCGATGACGAAAGAAACGCCGAAGTTGATGGATGATGGCAGGCATATTTTCTTATTCAACACGAAAAAAATACTGCCCACGCTTGCAACCTTTCCTCGCCTGCCTGAGGCCGAAGAGGNTAACGATAGAAAGAGCTGCAGTACCGCCGGCGGTACAGCCTTTGCGCCGTGACACAAATGTAGGCGATGGCGAAAGAAACGCCGAAGTTGATGGATGATGGCAGGCATAATTATATATTCAACACGAAAAAAAAAGTTGATTTGACACAACACAACATCAAAAAGAAACTGCCCACGCTTGCAACCTTTCCTCGCCTGCCTGAGGCCGAAGAGGTACTGCGCAGCAAGTACGTAAGCCAGAGCTACTGATGGCGCAGCAACGACAGAAAGGTCTGTAGTATCGCCGGCGGCACAGCCTTTGTGCCGTGGCACAAAAATCATTTCACCGAAAAACTGAAGCAGCAGCAGCAGCAGCAGCAGCAGCAGCAGCAAGAAAAACACACGCACAAAAAAAACAAAAACTCTCGCACATCATCCCAGGTGCTCCGGCCACNCCTATCAGCTTGTGCTGCTACCTGGCGTAGCTCTCGCTGCCTGCTTGCTTCAACTTTTTCTGCTGCTGCTGCTTCTTTTTCTTCTGCTGCTACTCTCTCCGCCTTTCTCTTTGCCGCGTTCGCCTTGTTCTTTTGTACGCGGGTGGCGTCAGCTTTCGCCGTTGCGGCGTCGCGGCTCCGTGTCAACTCTTTGACGTCTCCCTTCCTCACCAGCCCGTCGAACCTTGCTTGCGACGCCCTGGCCTCCATCGTCATACCATGTTTTTCGACACATATCTCGTTTTGTCTCGAGAACGTTGCTTTCGTTTTTTCCTCGAGTCCGGCGATTTTTTCCTCCCAGACGTACCCATGAGTACCCGATGAGTACCCGATCTGGGGATTCGTTTTGCGCGACGATGACGCAGTGGATTCTAGCATGCCTTTTTTCGTCACCTTGCTGAGAAGGAGAGCTACAATTTCATCGGTGGCGATTTGCGTTGAAGTTGCTCACGTTTGTGGCAGCAGGCGAAAAGTGCCGAAAATCACTTGTTTTTAGAGTGTTCGATGGGTTAGAACCCGCCGATTGAAAAACTGACCGATGAACCCATAGATATGTCCTGTTCACAGTTAGGTGTGTACTGAACCGCAAGAGCCAGCTCGTTTGTGGCATCGAGTATTTCGCGTTCTTCTCTCGCTTTGTAATATCAAGTCAAAACAAGATTATTTGGCGCCGGCGACCTGAAAAGCGGAAAAACTTTATTTGTGTGGTTTTTCGACCAACAGCCCGACCACGCCCATACACCAAAACGGGAGTCAGGCGCGGGGCTAACTGTAGTCGATAAACAGCAGTTGTTGTTGCTCGGCAACCAGCCAGGTCCGCTGTGATCGCACGGTCGATTCGAGTCGGCGGTCTCTGCCGTCGTCCGCGTGGCCAGATATAGTTCAAACAACATATTCGCCTGATTGAGAGCGTAGCATCTGATTGAGAGCGAGATTGCGCGATACGCTGTAGCCGGACTACCACTGAGAGGTGGAGCTTGCTGTGTAGCTTGAATTGAAGGGCTAGCCCGTAGCTTCAAGCCGCTACCCTGGTCATCCTGTGGGAGTCTCTCGTTGTGGAGCTACAGCGGGGAGCAGAAGCTACAGCAGAGCCCACCGCCCGACGCGATACCGCCCTGAAACAGTTTGAGCAGAAATAGCCAATCTGGGCAAATCTAGCAACTTGTCTAGCTCCTCGCTGCAGCATCCGATGACGATGACACGCATATGCTCGCGAAGCTGCTGATGAGACCTTCAATTTGCACCGCTTCTTGGAATAGCCCGTCCCCTACTTGCCAAGAAATGGCAAGAGGCGTCTGGACCCGAAATTTCAATTTTTTTGGCTCTCGCTCTCAATCAGATACTTCGCTCTCAATCAGGCGAATATGCACTTCAGTGGATCCATATAATACGCACACACAAGCAGGCAGGAGGATTCGACTCTTTGGTATAGTATGTGCCCGGTCTGTCTCTTTTGTCTCTCCGAGGCAGATATTATCGTAGCTCGATGGACCTCATGTGCGTGCATGCATGCACACACAGGATTCGATATATTTCTGTTTAGAATTGTCTAGACATGGACAATGGGGGAGGGAAACACACACCAGAGCGAGGGCGAGACGGCGGGAGTAGCGTGTGCCCCGTACATACTGCCGTTAGCTTCGGCGGAGGAAGCGAGAGGAGAGATGAACGTTTTTTTGGTTGGGTCTCGGTCACCTATTCTTGCTAGCAGCTAGCGGCGGCGGCAGTTGACGGCGGCAGCGTTTACATACCTCTCCTTCCTTGGAGAGAGGCACATCACACCAACAACGCACACAGGCGCTGCTGCTATGCACCACCATTGGCGGTGCAATATGTACTGCTGTACGCCTCTCTACACTCGTACGCGAGGTACTAGTGTGTCTGGCCACCTCCATCGCACACGCTTTTGAGTTGCCTGCTCGAATAAAAAGCAGAGAGGCACACCGGAAAGAGCGAGAAATTTTTCGTTCTCCGAGCTGCTGCTGATGATAAATACCACCGCCCCTCTCGAGCGGACGGCACGTACCATCCCCCCTCTCCGGCTGACGTTTTGTCGGACGATTTGACCGTGCCCTGCTACCTACTATACCCCCCTCCTACGCTCGGTTGGTTCGTCTTGATGCTTGCGGCAGTATTGTCATCTTCTTTCGGCATGTATGTCCATGGCGTGTAGAGGTGAGCGGAGTGGCCTACCTAAGCCTAGTGTACAGGAGAACGGGCCCGAATGGCAGGGTATCCGTCGGTTTACTTTTTACCAGAATCGGTCAGCAGGATGATGATATATACTGGTTCGAGTCTCCTTGGGTGCACGTTTTTTCTCCTGACTTGGACATTTAATTTCCCATGGACGAAATGAGGATAATTGTATGTGTGTCAGTCCTGAGAGCACGCCTCTCTTGGAGTCGATTGTTTGGGTGCTCGGCAGAGTATACTGTCTACGGGGCCTCTGGGGGGTACGCGGATGGCATGTATTGACGGACATGCTGCATGGCGATGGTGTGGCCTACCGCATGTCTCTCACTCTCTAAGCAACAAGGTCTTGAGTCAACCTTTTTTCTCTTTCGGCCTCTGACGAGCTACCGCACCCAAACACAATATATTGTGAGGCCTGGTGTTGGTAGTGGATATTGGCGTCTGAGCGGTGGGAGCTGGGCCATCGGGGCAGAGGACACCATTTTCATAGCTGGGATCGCGGCCAAAGGGGGCGAGGACAGCAGTGCATAGCTGGTGCGGTGGCCATTGCGGGGACCGGGACAGCAGGGTTTATAGCTGGGACAGCACTTCGAGGCTGGGACAGCAGGGAGGGTTTAGAGTTTAGTTTGATATATGTCTGGAACGGAGGAGGACGCAACTCTGAGCGCGTGGTGGAATGAGGCGCTACGAGCTATAGATGTTGCCAAGGCTGAGACGAAGGAGGCCAAGGCTGAGACGAAGGAGGCCAAAGCTGAGACGGAGGAGCTTAGGGCAGCACAGCGGCGGTCGGCGGGTGCACCTGCCGGCAGCAGCTTAGGAGGCGACGGTCTANGCAGCAGCTCAGGAGGCGACGGTCTAGTTGCTCCTGGAGGGGCTTCATCTGCACCGGTGAGGCCAATGTGGCCAGGCGGGGTGAGTCATGATGGCGGTACTGGGGTGCCGGGCTTGCCTCTGGGAGGTACAATTGTCAGAACTCCTGTGCCTAGAATCCCGTTTAATTGCACCGCCGACACCTTTCTCAGTTGGCGGAGACTCTTTCTGGCCTACGTGAACAACCATAATCTCCAGCACACAATCTTTGGCAGTGCTGAGGTTCCCGTTGTCAGTTGTGAGAATGAAGGGTGCTTGACACGCCAGTATGGTGTACAGCTGGTTGTTGAGCACAAGAGGAAAACATGGAGTTTTGTCTTGGAGGCAGGGGAGGGGGGCCCATTTGAGAACAACCTGTACTCTTGCCATTCCGTGGCAGAGGCGTGGAGGATGATGGAGGATTGGTATTTGCCGAACCACCCAGCTGATTGTCAGCTCCTCGTCGCCGAGCTAGAAGATATAACCATGAGTGATGATGAGGACCCCAAGCTTTTCTTCTCGCGCGTCGCACAACTGGAGACCAAGTTACGGGCTGTGGGCATTGCTAAGAGTGACCAGGAAGTTGTGCAGATCCTTGTGCGCCAACTCCCCGCACGCTACGATGTCGAGAAGCGCACTTGTCTTTGCAAGCGTGATTCAACCCGCGCTGAGTTGCAGGACGTCGTGCGTGGTCGATATGCCACGCTCAAGGCCAGCGAGATGAGGGAGCGAGGGTCGGCAGCTTCGACGCCGGCGGTTTCTGTCAACCCCCATGCTCTTGTTGTGGGCCGTGGTTTTGGACACGGCGGCAACGCGGGGAGCGGGGGGGGCGGAGGCCAACGGCGGAATGGCAACAACGGCGACGGCCGCGGGCAACACTGGTCCTCTGGGGGCGGTGTTGTCCAACAGCAACAGCCGCAGTTGCAGGTGCAGCAGTACCGGCAGCCGCAACAGCCGCAGCGGCAGATGCAACAGTCGTACCCACAGCCGCAGCAGCAGATACGACAGCAACAGCCGTACCAACAGCAGTCGCAGATGCAGCCGTACAGGTAGTCGCAGCAGCAGCCGCAGCAGCAGCGGCAGCAGCAACAGCCCGCTTTGAACGGTGTTGGTGGCATCTGCGATTGCGGTAGTAAAGCCGTGTATCATCAGCCGGAATCACTACCTCCACCTGGCGCGCCGATGGGCACAGGGCACAGATGCGGCCGCCGGGGAAGGCACGGTCACCATGCCATAGATTGCGCCGCCCCCCGCAGGTTCGAGGGCACGTGCGGTGCATGCGGCCAGTATGGTCACATGTGGCGCAACTGTGCCAAGAGCAACCGGCACCCCCACCTCAACGTCGTCACTTCTGCTGGTGCCCTCGGTCCGGAGTACGCGTACACCACCGCGGATACATCGGCCGTCCAATTTCGTGATGTCCCGGCGGCCGATGGCGTATACTACAGTGACACCATGCTGGCCGGCGCTGGTGGCGGCGGCAACGGTGGTGGTGCTGCTGGCGGTGGCGGCAGCGGCGGTGGCAATGGCGGTGGTGGCGGTGGAGTGATCGTACAGCAGCAGGTCGTGACACCGGGCGAACCCAACTTTGATTTTGTCGACATTTTCCACGGCAGCGGCGGCGTGGAAGGTGAAAATGGCGGCGGCAGCGGTGGTAGTGACGCGGCGGGAGCGGGCCCTGAGGCGCTTGGCAACGGCGAGGGTACCTTCGGTGGCGGTCTCTTCGCGATGCACCTTGTCTGTTCCGTTACCTCATCCCCCCCCGTGCGCGAACCATCCGACCTTT